AGAAGGTCATTATGAGTTTAATAGGATGCCCTTTGGTCTGGCAAATGCACCAGCTACATTTCAACGCATGATGCATCAAGTTCTAGGAGAAATACCCCATGGAGAAGCATTAGCATATCTTGAAGACATCATTATTCCTTCTCAGACTATCGATCAAGATATCACAAACCTACATTCTGTTCTTAAATTACTACGTAATGCGGGGCTTACGCTTAAACTCTCTAAATGCGTGTTCTTTGGCCTTTCCGTTGATTATTTAGGGTTCGAAGTTTCCAGTGAGGGAATATGTCCCGGTGCGAGAAAAATTAAAGCAGTAGAGCTTTTCCCGGTACCAACTAATCAACACAATGTTAGGCAGTTCTTAGGATGAGCTAGCTTTTTCCGAAGATTCGTACAAGGTTTTTCGGTAATATCTAAGCCTTTGACAAAATTATTAAAGAAGGAGGCGACCTGGGAATGGGGACAGGAACAGCAGTATGCTTTTAACACCTTATAAGGGGCGTTGGTGAAGAAACCTATTCTGGCTCTTTATAATCCATCGACTGAAACAGAACTTCACACAGATGCTTGTAAGCTAGGTGTTGCAGGTATTCTGCTGCAAAGATTCGATAAAAATGGACTACGACCTGTGGCTTACTACAGCAAACAAACTACTCCAGAAGAACAAAATTATTCCTCTTACGACCTAGGAACACTAGCTGTAGTAGCTTCTCTACAAAAATTTCGCGTATATTTGGTAGGAATTCGTTTCAAAATTGTTACTGACTGTAACTCTTTACGAGCCACATTTTAAAAACGGGATATGCTGCCACGTGTTGCTCGTTGGTGGACTCAAATGCAAGAATTCGACTTTTCTATTGAATACAGGCCAGGAACATCAAATGGCCCATGTGGATGCTCTTAGCCGTAATCCAGCATTGCCTGACGAAGATCTTACGTTTAAGGATATTTTTCATGTTAAAGAAATTGACTGGCTTGTTACTGTACAAAACTCTGATACCGACATACAGCGAATAATTGGTATTTTAAATAGTCCTAATTTAAACGTGCTTGATATTAAAAACAATTACAAATTGAAAAATGGCAAGTTATTTAGAAAAACTGCCGAGGGTGATAAGTGGGCTGTACCTAAGGGCGTTAGATGGCAAATTGTAAAACAAAATCATGACTACATTGGTCATTTTAGTCTGGATAAAACTCTAGCTCGGATTAAATTATACTACTGGTTCCCGAAAATGCATAACTTTGTTAAGAAATATGTAACCTCTTGCCTTGAGTGTACATATTCTAAATCATCTGGGGGTAAAAAGCCCGGGTTTTTACACCCAATTAAAAAAATAGAGATTCCCTTTGACACAATTCACGTTGATCATGTTGGACCGTTCGTAAGAAGTAGTACAGGTTTTACGCATATTTTAGTTCTGATAGATGCATTTGCTCGATACATATACTTAAAACCGGTTAGAAATACCAAATCTAGTACGACCTTTAAAGTTATTCGCGAGTATATTAGTATATTTAGTGCTCCAAGACGTATTATTTCCGACCGTGGGACTGCTTTTACCAGTAATACCTTTAAAGCATTTCTTCATAAAAATGGTATAAAGCACATTCTTAATGCTGTGTCTACTCCAAGATCCAACGGACAAGTAGAACGTTATAACAAAATTATAATTGACTCTTTGACAGCAAAATGTATCGGTACAGCAGATAACAAATGGGACTCCCACCTTCCAGATATACAATGGGGTATGAATAATACTTTTAATAAAGGTATTAACACTACACCATCTGAAGCACTCTTTGGTTTTAATCCTAGAAGTTCAAGCGATAATGAAATAATAACAGCTCTTGAAGATATTGATAATTTCGAGTGTGAATCGCCGTAATGTTGACACTATTCGAAAAGAAATAAGCTCCCAAGTTAGTTCTTACCAATTGGCACAAAAAAGTCACAATGATAAATCTCGTTGTAAACCCTTAATGGGTAATACAAATTTGGCGATCTTATAAGAATAGAGAGACAAATTTCAGCTACCGGTAATAGCAAAAAAACTTATACCTAAGTTTCAAGGTCCTTATAGAATTGTTAAGGTTTTTGATCATGACCGCTATCAAGTCGAAGATACTCCGTTAACGCGAAGAAATAATTAACATTATTCTTCTGTGGTAGCTATTGATAAGATAAAACCGTGGCTTAAACTTACAAAGGTTTTTAAATACTCTATCGAGTCAGTAATTCATTCAGTCAGGGCGATGTATACGCTTTTACAACAAAATTCCAGAAAATATACAAAATTTGACCTGCTCAAAGTTCAAAAACTATTAAACTAAGTTTGTATAAAAAGGGTTATTATAATATTAAAGAATTCTTGGATGACTAGCTTTTTACCCGCGGCTGCGCTCGCGTGGCAAATTTAGCGAAATTCGATCACTTTTAGAGTCACATCGGTGTCTGTGTCTCTATGTCTGTCAAAGATTTTTTTTAAATTCTAAAACACTATTAGACGAAGATTAGGTATTTGGCATAGATAGGTATAATATGCCACAGGAACACGTGAATATATATGTCTAGAAACACATACTATTTTTTTATATCGGGCGTGTCTTCCGATGTATCCATAAGAAAGGTAAATTGTATCGTAATCAAAATTTATTATTATCCATTATTTAAATTTTACTCTTTACATTAATTCATAATTAAAATTAATTTAGTTTTAACAAAATAATGATGAGTTTTTCACGGTCTTCTACCAATTTACGGCATAATGTTTATTTGAGATATTTTATTCATATCTATCATTGGTCCTATTTAATATTTTGATTGGCACCATAAATTAGATGTAAATATTTTTTTTTACGTTCGAGTTGACACATGGAATAAAACTAATGTTACGGATTTTATCACGTCTAATTTTAACTTTTTTACGTTAGGTTCTTTTACGCATCTTTGGATGAAAGTTCCATAAAAACCCGCGTAAAAGAACATATAGGTAGATGATGTGAAACACTGTCGCTCCGGGAAGTCTAAAGTACGTCAACATGTTTAGTATCGTCCCAAACATTATATCGGATCTGATATACAAATCCTTGTAATAGAACACCGATTCCTACCAATGATGATTCGCGGGGCTATTGAAATTAAAAAAAAACACATGCTAATTTTAATAGGGAAGATGGCTGAGTGGTAAGATTTGCTAAGGGCGCCATGGTTAATAAAATAAAATTCAAACCCAAGCATACTCCTGCATTTATTATATTACTATTATATTCTATTCTATTCTTATTCTATTCCATTCTAACTATAACATCAGGTCGTCAAAAACCTCAGTCCTACCGTGACCATGGGTGCTGTAAAGTGCCCAAAACATCGGGAATTAAAAAAGTTAAAATTAAACGCGATAAGATCCTTAAAATTAGTTTTATTCCTTATAAATTTTATTCACAGTGAACCTGGGAAGCACTACTCTTATGAACGGGAGTAGAAAAATGTTCGTCTTGTTGTGGCGGTGAAAGAGAATCCGCCACCTCATATCGTACCGTCGTAAGTAGTGACATATGACCTAGGCCATGACATGACATAGGGCAGCATCATCTTCCTGACAAAAGATCAAAATAATAATAGCTGCGGTTGCCAACACGCCTACCAAGCGTGGCAACAATTGCAAATATCCAGCTACTTGACAATTTATGCGGGGGGCCTATGTTTATTTCAGTGGACTTTTTTTAGAGTGAAAACAAAAAGTAACATACCCGAAAATATGAATACAATAAAAATGCATATATTGCCCCATGAAAAGTAAAAAGTTGCAGCTCAAATACACGTTACTACTGGGCAATGGCCGCATAAAATTTTTGGCCTAAAAAAGTGTTCGCTGCGCTGATTCCAATGCAGGATGACCTCAACTGGGAAACTTCTCAGATATGCAGGTTTTCCTTAATCGCCGAGATCGTGGTAAATCGACACTTCAAATTGCAATTAATATATAATATGCTGAAATATTTAATAATGCTTACGTACCATGAAATTTAAGTTGAATCTCATGCCAACCTTCTTTTTCGAAGTTCCGTAATCAGATAAAAAGTAACCTATAAGTTGCCCCGGGTTATTAACTACCTATGTACAAAATTTCATGTAAATCGCTTTAGTAGTTTTTGCGTGAATCCGGAATACACAGACAGACAGACAGACAGACAAAAATTCTAAAAACCACTGATTTGGGTTCAGAACCCTTTATTTAGTCCCCTGGACTGGTTTTTTCAAGAATATATTAGAATTACAGACACGAGTTTTCTACAGATTTATTATATGTATAGATAGATATATATAATAACCCCTGGAAATGAGGTGATCACTACCAAGCTATTTCTAATTTGTTGTGTTGTTAATTTGTGTAACATACATGATTGTAAGCTGTTATTTAAAACAAAAGCCCCGCTGGGTTTCTTGTTGGTTCTTCGCAGGACATAGGTTTTTTTTTTCGAACCAATGGTAATTGAACAAAACAGTGACTTTCAGTAATTATTATTTATAATCTATATTGTATAAAAAAGTTTCTGTTTCTTTGAAGCCACAAGTATATTTAGTAGTAAGTTTAACCATATTTTAGTTTTCATAAGTTTATTGTCTCCGCTCTGCCCCAAATTGAACAAAAATAACTTGTCTCCATTCAAACAAATAGCAGAACAACTAGTGTTAATTAATTAACATACAATTTCCATTAAAAATACTTATTATTCTTTACGAGAAATCATTTCAAATAATACCTGAATATTTTTCTTTTTCAGAATATAATGTTAATGTGAAAAATTACCTAGGTGAGATGTCAAATGTTACACATCGTATGCGACTACACTGTAAGGCTCGCTCGTTTTTTTTTTAAATGAAAGCATTGATAAATATAAGTGGTCATTGATGATTATCTTAAAAATCTATATGATGCCACACTAATAGGTAACACCCAGGAAAACCTGTTGCGGGCTAGTAATGTTATATAAAATCAAATCTTTACCTTCTGTTCAATAACCAAATACTTGACAAATCTTGCACAAGCGTCACTGCGACCGTGCGGCAAAACCTCCAAAAAAATGTTGCGGGCTGTTTCAAGGTCATAGCTGGTGCCGAAGACCAGTTCATCGAATAGTCTCTTGAAGGATTCGTAGGTTAACTGCGACATCGTGCTGAAAGAAATAGTTTAGTGGTAACATTAAATGCATATATACGTGGTAGAGCCATCATCAGTTCACTGCTGAACTTGCCACCGACTTTCTTATAGTTTCCACGCTTGGGATAAACGTTAGCAAGCGCAGTTTTTTATTATTTTGTTGTTACCAGAAAGATACTTCTGTTCATCACCTCTTTCACTTTCCCTGTGCCGCCTCTTACGACACCTATGGATCTACATAGTGTAGAGTCATGCTTCAGCTATATTATGGTTGTATGTTGGTATTTAAAGTACAGCCTATATACGTCCCGCTGCTGGACACAGGCCTCCCCTCATTTCTGAGAGGGTTTTAGGGCAAGGAAATGTCCGTCGCACTGCCCCAATGCGTGTTGGTGAAATTCACATGTCTTCGCATTTTATTTCTTATTTCTCAGACATGCAGGTTTCCCCACGATTTTTACCTTCACCGCCGAGCACGTGATAAATCAGCACTTAAAATGGTGGTAGTGGATCAACTCAAATGGAAAAGGACCACGCTCTTAAAGAATACTAGCCTGAAATAGAACATAATATCACTGTAGTGCTTCTCATCGCGAGTGTAGATAACCGGTGACCCTTTTTACTGGCAAGGAAGCATTCCATGAAAGTCCTGAATGATAATGATGCATTTGGAGCTTGACTTTTCAATCTCTCTATGATGAAATGTAAGTATCAATGATTCATAACATTTACGTAGCATCAAATTGACTGGTGCTTAAATATCATCATCACCAGCAGGCGCTTAATACTGTTTATGAGCGAATGGATTGACGGCGACGGGTATATTAGGTTTTGATTGAGGGAGGGTTGGAGGTCCCCTTAAAACTGGGCAGGATCCATCATTTTCTTTCTTTACGCGGAATTAAGCAAATTAGTTTATAACTTAATAATAATAAAATTAAAAAAAAAAAACAATCCCATTATAATGATTGCTATGTCGCAGCCAGATTGCTTAGTCGGCCAATTTAATAAACGACTGGTATATTACCTGTACGCTAACATTCTACTAAATGCCTGGCCTCTTCGGCCATTTCCGATATGATACAAAGTCGTATATTTAAGGCAGTGCCAGCAGTGCCATATATATTTTTTTATAGGATAGGGTGAAAAACGAGCACACTGTCCACCTGATGGTAAGTGGTTGCTGTGGCCCACAGACATATACATCCTTCCTAATTTTCGAATCAAAATGCAGATGCGTTCTCACCCGTGAGGACTAATATGGAATGCGTCTTTTCCAGTAAAAATAGTCTCCGGTTCTGTACACTCACCATACGAAACATAGCAGTGTTAAGTTACTATTTTACACTGGTATGATGTGAGAGCGTGGCCCTACCCCGATCGAGTCGACCCATTCGTGCTACAATTATACTACTAATATAGCTGCAGCATGGCTCTACCGCATATATGGGAGATATTGATATGATTGAAGTCAATATATAAGGGAGGTCTATGTTTATTGTTCAGTTGTAAAGATTTGATAGTCTGTAATGATGATGATGATGAATTGTGGTGTTAGAGAGCTATAGTGGTAGTAATTAACAGAAAAACAAAAGAAGACAAAAATAAAAAGTAAGCCGTGGTCCCCAAATAATTAGATTAGGTTAGGACTTTATTAATGATATAATGGCTGATTTTCTATACGACCTGGAAATCATATCAGATGTTATTGGTGAACGAAGTAGAAGCCTACGGGAAATATATAAAAATAAAAGGTTATTTACAGCCTATATACATCCCACTGCTAGGCACAAGCCTCCTCTCATTTCTGAGATGACGGCAAAGATCTATTTTAATAAAATATTTCAGTAAAGACACAAAAATCAAAAATTAAAATATATTTAAAGTTGGTAAAATTAAAAGTAAAGTTGTAGCCTTTAAATATCTCTGAATGTTATTTCTAAGAAGGTTTTGGGGCAAGGAAGTGTGCTACTCCAATTCGCAAACACGCAATTACATTGCTTAAGGCACGGTTGGCATGAGATGCAGTTGAACTAAGAAAATGGCGCAATTAAGAGTTCCACAGAGATTGCTATATTGTTTGTGTTGTTTGTTGTGGACACTGTCTTCCCTTGGGGCCCATTATCGGTTAAATTTCTATGGGAATTATATCCGCGACTTTTCATCGCAGCTGAAAACCAGAGGGCTGGTTCTTTTCTCGCCCAATGCTTAAGTATATCCATTCAGTGAGGAAATGCAAACGGTGTTCTTGGCACCGTATATACCGCGGGGAATAGGACTGTGTTATAATTAATTAATTTTGGGATGCTACTTGCGTAGACACTCTGGCGGCCTCTCATCTCAGGGGTACCTCGTTTAGAGCCGAGACGGCATCAGAGGCAGCTGAACTGAGTAAGTGGCGCAAATATGAGTCTCTGAGAGATGACTACATATTTGTGCCATTTGCTGTAGAGACTGTCGGTCCGTGGGGTCCACGTGCGGTGAGGTTCCTAAAGGAACTCCACCCGCGGCTGGTCGTTGCTGCTGGTGATAAGAGGGCTGGTTCTTTTCTCGCTCAAAGGCTACGTATAGCCATTCAGCGGGGAAACGCAGCCAGCGTTCTTGGCACGATACCGCGGGGAGTAGGACTGTATGATAGTTAAGTTACTAGTTTTAGTTTTATTTTTATTATTATAGTTTTTAATATTGTATATAATATAGTTATTTATTACATAATATTAATATATAAAAAAAAAACTTTTAATAAAAAGTAAATTGGTGACGCCCTTCATGAAGCCAGTAAAAGTAAAAAGTTTAATTCGAATTCGTAGTGTTTAACGATAGATCAATTTATATTTTGTCAATAAAAAAAAAGTTTGAAAAATATCTGTCATAGGCTTCAACATCGTTTACTTATTACACTCATTTTTTTCAGACTATTAATAAAGTCCGGCAATACACAAAGAACTTCTTGGTACTCACTTAAGGAGATCAACAAAATCCATTGTGTGGATCAGCCCTTCGTTTTTCACAATGTTGTCCGCATCGATCCCTTTCTTCGCTATTTTAAGAAGTATCTGGAATATTAGAAGAAGATTCAACATTTTCAATTTATACACCTGTTAACTTTTTTACCTCGGATAAAATAAGGTCTAATAGTCGAACGAAATAGAATTCAGTGGCATAGATATTTTTCAAATTTATTGCTTTTCATTGCCATCATATGAAATTGATCTATCAAGAAGTGAAATTAAAAAAAAATATGTATAAAATGTTTTGATATACCACTTTTTTTTTATATTCTTACACTGTTATCCAATTCTGAGATGTATAAAAAATTTTTGCGTTGTCAGCCGTGAGGACTAAGATGGGATGACTCGTTTCCATTAAAAAGGGTTTCTGGTTCTCTACACTCACCATACGAAACACAGCAGTATTAAGCTGCTATTTTACGCTGGTATTCTGTGAGAGCGTGGTCATTCCCCAGTGGGGCCCATTCGCGCTACAACTATGCTACTAATATAGCTGGAGCATGGATCTACCACGTATATAAAGGTAAATGTTAAGGCCAGTCCTTCCTGCAACGGTTGAGGGCCAAGTTCATGAGTTCTTTTACGGACTTATGAAGATGGAGTATACTTCGTAAGTCCTGTTCTTCAGGTCACGCTGCGTCATCGTCTTGATGAAGTTGGATGGGTTCCTGTAATCGCCGGCGTCATATTGTATTTCTCTTCTAGAAAGATCCAACTTCTCTATGCTTTCGATGGGGACGTCCATGTCGTAATATAAAGAAAGTCTGTAATTGAAATAATCTATTATTATATTTATGTTATTATAACTTTTTTTTTTTTTATATTTATGATTATGTAATATCATTTTAGATTTGAAAGATAAAAAGGACCGAGTATTTGAGTTTTTTTTAATTGCTTTTTCTTCACCATTTATATAGTATATAGTTATTGTTACGGATCGCCGTAACGCCGTTCGAAAAATGAATGAAACGCGTTGGTCTTGCTTAAACTGGAGGCAAGCGGCGGTGAGGAGGAACTTTTTCTTTTCCTGCTGCTGTTTTCTTTTCTGTGGCTGGAAAGCGACTGCCGACCGTTCTTTTTTTTTTTTTTTTTTGTTTGCGCCCGAAGCAAATTGGAAAAGGGCTACCCTTTACGCAGGGAGGCGGAAAATGCATTACGCATACCACGATGGCTATCCATCGTGGCTATGGGGGACTCACGCCTAACCAGGGAGCCTAAGTGATACCCCCTAAAAACCGCCTTTGGGGACTGGCAACCAGCTGTTTAAAGCTTCACATGCCGTATCGGAAGCGACCCTCTTTTGGGAAAAGAGGGCGCAGGCGGCTACAAGCCGCTGAGGGAGTGCCTACAAAGGCAATTTAATTGTAAAAAAAATTAATTATTTATGAAAGTTTAATTATGAAATTGACTGAGCCACCAGGAGGCAGTTCAAGTCGTTTGACAGTTTATTAGGCGGGTTCGAGTGGGAGTTCCTCGGCCTGCGGACGCGATAGCGAAAGGGAGTGGGGTTGCACACTTAGCTACCTCACGAATAAGTATGTTTAATGAAACTCTGAGACTTTGAAGAAGTTTCAGAGAGTTTTAATTAGTGAGTGCCTACGAAGGCAGTTTTAACCCTACGTATATTGACCTTACGGTGAAATGATTAAAATAAACTTATAACGTACTTAAAAGATTATGATACTCTGTAAGAGCAAGGAGTCGGTCCTGTGGGGACTTGGCAGCGTGCAATTTGCGTGCTAAGACGGTGATCTCCCCAATATTGATGTTCTTAATAGCGGCGTACACCGTATTTAGATCATCAACCATTGAGGGTTGTGTTTGCTGTGCAGCGGGGGACGACCGCGGAGGGTCGGCCTTTTTGGGGCCCCAGGGAAAGACTGGAGGCTGCAATGGTTGCAAAAAGCTCGGAGGTGGGCGAAGAAGAGGAGGAGGTGTAACACGAAAATTTTCGTGTACATTATTTTAGCATATTTACGTTATTACATGCGATGAACAGACTTCAGAGCGCCATCTAACGTCATTAGTCCGAAGTAACTAGAAACGTATATTGACGAATCGAGCTAGCTAATTGCATGCAATTGACCTTTCGTGTTAGTTCGAAATCCTACCACGGATCGACGGTGGCGTGTAGCCCAAGGGAGGCCTAGTTCTTTTTGGAGCGAGCCGTTGTAATGATCGGACACGCACAAATATAATTTTTGAATCGAAACGCCGGAACATGAATTTAAAGTGACGACTACTTGGGCGTACGGCCCCTTAAACACAATGTCTACGGGCAGTTTAATGTGTTGAAACACATCATCCCATAAATTGTAAGTACTTAATGTTTTTGTCTTCTTAAAAGCACATGTGCTCTAATTAACGGTACACGGTGTTTCATAGATTCTTTTGCCTTGTCATAGGGGTCCTTAGTCCTTAGTCCTTAGTCCTTAGTCCTTAGTCCTTAGTCCGTACTTTGAGTATGGTCCATTATCAAGTTCAACAATGTGAACGAGGCGAGGCAGCTTCAACGGGTGGCTATATTGGGACTGGGCGGCCAGGAGACCGCGACCTGCGTACACCTGGAGGATATCTGTTGCCTCACTGCTTCGCGGGATTGACCATAAACAGTGTAATATTGTGTAATCCACCAGGTTAGTCAAAACCTCAGTTCGTAGGGTATTTTAAAGTGAAAACTTGATATTTGGAGCTATACATGTGAACCGTAGAAGGAAATAAACTACTTTTTGTCTGTATATGTAACTTAGCATTTTCATTTACTAATCATCCAACAACAGGCGCCCTGGGATACTTTTATTTTGATCTTCGAGTCCCTTAACTCTCCGATAACCGTAGCCGGTGAGTAACGCCCTAAAAAGTGTTATAAAGTGGCTACCCAACGTTGAACCTTAAGTTGCTGGATGTTAGTAGATGAATTAACCTTAATTGTAACTATTTAAGCTGTTAAAAACCCATTTAATATGAAAACTTAGTGAAATTTAATGTTAACATTTTTTTTTCTGATGTAGGTAGATTTAAGTAAGCTTGAGAACAAAGAAAGTTTAACTTGAATGTGATTTATATGTACTTAAATGAATTAAAACTTAACATAATAAAAATATTTGTGCTATTTTAAGTAGATATTTTTAATATCAACCGATTTAAGACTTTCTTGTAACCGTCAGTACGTTTTAACAAAATGTCGATCCACAAGTATATAGACTCATTACATAAAGATGAAATCAGATATGTACTCGCCATTATTGGTATTTCCACAGATAAAAATGTAACCACCGATGCAGTAAGGAAGCAGATCCGCCAGGTGTATAAACTCGCACGCCGTGGAAGCATAAAGTGTGAACCTCTCCAGTCACCCAGTATAGCCTCTGAACTAGAGATCTGCATCCCAAAGGTCGAACTTCTGGAATCCCAGCTGCAGGCGGGTAAAGTAGATGATCGCAATTTGACTCTTAAACTGTCTCGTCGTGCAAATTATTTGATGGATAGACTAGCTCGTACCTCTGAAAGTAGTTCGCATTTGTCAGATCTCCGTAGTCGTTTGATTCACATTTCGAGTGTCATAGACGGTGAAGATAGCGACACGGATAGTGAGTACAAGGAAACCCAGGCACAGCCGTCTAACCAGAAAGTGGAAAGTAACGTGATCTATGTGAAAGATAAACCCTTGAACCTAAATACATTTAACTTAAAATTTGACGGAACCACGTGTGTTCGTGTATTTATTGAACGTCTTGAGGAACTTAAAGAGGCTCGCAACATTACTGAAGCTCGCATACTTTCAGCTTTTTCTGATCTTTTAGAAAACTCTGCTTTATGTTGGTTTACAAGTAATAAGGATAATATCCACACATATTCACAATTATTGAAATGCTTAAGGGACGACTTTGATATTCCCGATTTAGACTATAAACTATTAAATGAAATAAGGCAGCGTACACAGGCCAGACACGAAACGATAGTAGTCTATCTTTCCATTATGCAGGGAATGTTCTCGCGACTCACTCAGCCGTTGTCGAGTAGACAACAACTCGAAATCTTGATGCATAACATTAGACCAGAGTACATGAAAGATTTAGCTTTACATGATATAACCTCTGTAGACAAACTTAAACTTTATTGCAAACAGTTAGAAATTGCGCGGTCGCGTGCGGAACAATTTAGTGAACCTAACTTGAATAACTTTAAAATTACAGCGGACTTAAATAAACAAACGCCGCGATCTCACAGTAAACAAGTCTCTGTGCTGAATGAAGCTGGCTCTTCGAGGCAATTGGATAGGAAATGCTTTAGGTGTGGATTAAACACTCATTTCACCAATCAATGCAATTCGAAAGAGTTAGTGTGTTTTAAGTGTGGATTAAAAGGTGTTAAGCGTTAAGATTGTAGTAATTGCAATTCAAAAAACTAGTTAACACGGAACTATCCAACACCTTTAATAAAAATAGGTCTTATACGTCCAATAATGAAGAGGTAGTTCTGTTTAAAAAAAATACTAGGGATATAAGACCATACTTAAAATTAAAAATATTGAACTTACAAGCTTTTGGCTTATTAGATTCGGGTGCAACTTGTAGCATTCTTGGAAATAATGCGCATTTGATCTTTTTAGAACACGGATTTCAACTCAACTGGTTTGACACTGAGCACTACGTGAGAACTGCTGATGGTACGAGATTGCATTGCTTAGGGTATATGTCCTTACCTATTGAATTTAACAATAATTTCAGAGTGATTAACTTTTATGTTGTTGCACAAATAACTTCACCTATAATTCTAGGTGTTGATTTTTGGCAGGTGTTTGACTTAGGGAGTGACCTTGTATCCGAAGTACAGTTTGACTGAAAGTTGGAGTCATCAATATGTAATAGCATAAATTCGGTTTCTCTTAATAAAGGCCTTGAAGAATACGAGTCTTTATCCATAGAACAAAAACAAATCATGGATAAGTTAGTCCAACAGTTTGATACAATTAACACAGTTAAAGTAGGTTTGGGACGTACCAATTTAATTCATCACGTCATAGACACAGGGGATAGCAAACCTATTAAGCAAAGGTACTATCCATTATCACCTGTTAAGCAACTAGCACTTGAAAAAGAATTGGATAGAATGCTTAGTTTGGGAGTTGTGTCACCTTCACAGTCAGCTTGGAACTCACCTGTAGTAATGGTTCAGAAGCCAAATGGGGACCTAAGGCTTTGTCTAGATTGTAGAAAATTAAATGCAGTTTCCAAACCCGATGCGTATCCTCTCCCGTATATAAGCAGCATATTGGACCAGCTCCGCGACGCGAAATACCTAACGTCAATAGATCTTTCCGCTGCGTATTGGCAAATACCCTATGATAGCGAGCAATCAGCTGATAAGACCGCGTTCACAGTGCCACGTAGGGGGTTATTTAGATTCAATGTAATGTCGTTTGGCCTTGTTTCCGCGTCAAGCACAATGCAGAGATTAATGGATAGGCTATTTGGTCCCAAATTTAACAACAAAGTATTCTGTTTCCAAGACGACATAATCATAATATCCAGCACTTTCTCAGAACATGTGCAGCTCTTGCATAAGGTCTACGCAAAATTCAGGGACGCAAACTTGACTATAAACATGGATAAGTCTATCTTTTGCCGTAGAGAACTTAAGTACTTGGGATATTTAGTTGACAAATATGGACTTAGAACTGATCCGGGAAAGGTAGATATTATATTGAATTATCCAACTCCAACTTCCGCTAAAGAGGTTAAA